TAATGACCTTTGAGTATACACTGTTCGATAGAAGCGTATGCATCTAAAAAAGAAAAGGGTTAATAGTAAGTAATCAAGGCGAATATTACAATTGTGTATCTAGTTTGATGATATATATATTGGTCCTATATATATATCCATATCGTCACCTACTTGTTCTCCTATTCAGATCATCATGAATTTGTTATACTATTCAGATCATCACCTACTTGTTCTTATCTCTTTGCAGATTAATGAATATGGATCAGATCATATCAGATTAATGTGGCATATTTATTCTTTGTTGGTCTTGAAGTGCATCATTAAATTATAAATATAAATATACACAGTATGTTCATTAGCTTAGTTTGCTTTAAGGTTCTCCCAATACCCGTTTGCTTTGAGATTCATAAAGCAAGAAACTAGAAGAAAATGGACGATGGAACATTTTATTTTATTTCACCGACTTTGTATACCACACTAAAATCATTTTTTTTCTATTAATAATATGAAGTTCGATTAGGGGTGAAAAAACGAAGCTCGTGACTCGGATTGAGTCAAACTCGTAGTATTAACGAGTCGAGCCAAACTGATGAGCAACTAGAGATAAAAATGGAGCCTCTGAGTTGCCATGGGTTTGGATGGACTGGTTTCATCAGTTGTTAAGTGTGCGCGCTACACGAAATCGGTGGATTTCTCAGGACAGTAGATATGTGATGACTGCACTATCGTCATATTTGAAAACGGAAGTAGTAATCGGCCCTTGCTTCTGTGCATTTATATAAATACAAATATATATCTTTTTATGCATAGCAAATATAGTTATCAAAGTGGTATTATAATCTGACTAACATGATTAAATAGTTCAAATCTCTTTTTTCTTCTTTAATTAACGTGTTAATTTCATTCTCTACCTTATGAGAGTGGTATTACGTTCCTTTTCTACGTCTCCTAAACCTTGCAGGCTTGCAGCCTGATCATTTCTAGCTCAAGTAATAAGTGATGGATATCAAATTAATGTGACATTTTCGTGAGTTGGTTTGAATGGCAAATACTCCGTCAGAAAATAAACCCAACCTGGCTGACAACTCTATCGGCACATCACGGCGATACAATGATCGAATTTGGAATTTTTTTTCGGTTTTAGATTTTTTTTAAATATTTACAGAAATAATCTATCGGCAAAAAAATTACAAAAATAGGCCCTGCCGCCCACCTCTGGGGCGGCAAGCTGACGTGGCAAACGGGGGAGGAACGGGCGGTGACGGAGGGAGGGTTTTTTGCAGGAAAACCCTTGCCGCCCTCTGGTGGGGCGGCAAGGGGCCCGAATGCAAAAAAGCCAGTCGGGGCCGGCCATTTTGCAGGCGGCCCCTTGCCGCCCTCTGGCCGGGCGGCAGGCCTCGCTGCCTATAAAAGGCCTGCCGCCCAGCCCCTAGCCCTCATTCCTCCCTCCTCAATTCCAGTGAAAAAAAAAGAGAGGGGAGGAGAAGAGAAGAAGGGGCGAAGCCCTGCCGGATTCAGACGCCGATTTCAGGTAATATTCATAGATCCTATATGTGACTATTGAGTTAAATAGTGTGTATTTTTTAAAATTTTGTTTGAATAAATGCATTATATTTTTAGGGTTTTAGTTGTACTAATCTAGAAGTGCGTATTGTAGATATCGGTAACTACGTAGATCTGCTAGTTTGAAATCAATACATTACCGTTGCATTGGCTTACACAAGAAGATATTACGTTGTAGATGTTTATTGCATGAAAGAGTAATATGATCTAGTTATTTCGTTGACAGATATGTCGAACAAACAAATATTCCAAGTTTACCATGGACCAGGAAACGTCCGTTACGGGCCACTGGGGTAGATCTGTCAGATTTTATTGTATCAGAAAGGGGAATTGATAGACCGGCTGAGAGGAGTGTACCTTCTATAAAAGGATGGTTAATGAGGGGCTTGAGAGTTGATCCACAGACAAGTGACATAACAATCAATGTTATAGTAAGTCGGGCAACTGAGGGTTTTTATTGGGAACTAATGCCAGTTCAAAACTCTCGAATGTGGAGATGGTATTTGGAAAATGCATTGCAACGCGGGTGGCCTCTAGCTTTGGTTCCGTTTGTTCACCCGAAGGATCCAGGTGTGCAGATGAAAATGGATGATGGCGAGGGACCAAGTGCTGAAGTAAATGAGACTTCTGTGGAAGAGGTCAACGCACGAGAGGACGGGGGCGTAGTAGCTCCAGTGGGCATTCAACCAGGTGGAGTGGCCGACGAGGGGGAGACTGTCGGTGCCATTGTGGATGAAATGGAGAGGGAGGATTCTGACAACGAGCGTGTAGAGGAAGGTGATTCGTCAGATGATGAGACGGATATTAATCCAGCAGAATGGGCTAGTGAGGATTTTTCTGGGCTTATCGTCTCTGAAGAGGATAGTGTGAGATGGGAGTACAAAGAAAATGAGGTTATTCAGGGAGCGATTTATAGTAGAGCAGAAGATATGAAGGAGGCGGTAAAACATTTTGCAGTGTCACTTCATAGAGAGTTTTGGGTTGCCAAGTCGAACCGGTCTCAATATAAAGTTCGGTGTGTTAAGGAAAAAGATGGTTGTCCCTGGAGAGTGCACGTGTATAAGGGGAAATGGAAGAATTATTGGACAGTGTCAGTCGTTACCAAGCATACATGTTTTCTACCTGGTGTTCAGAAATACCACAGGAACATTACATGTGCATTTGTTGCATCTGAGATATATGCGCATGTCGTCGATAATCTCACATATGAACCAAGGTCAATAATCCGACACATCGAAGAGACATACAAGTATACTATTAGCTATGCCAAGGCCTGGAGGGCCAAACAGAAAATAATAGAGATGAGATTTGGAACTTACGAAGCCTCGTATGACAATTTGCCACGCCTGCTTGGTGTTATCGAGGAAAGAAACCCTGGGAGCTCTTACGAAGTGAAGAAATTCCCCTCAATTGAACATCCTGGCAAGAGTGTGCTGCAAAGGGCGTTCTTAGCTCTACATGCATGCAAGATGGCATTTGTGAACTGTTGTCCTGTTCTCTGCATTGATGGGACATTCATGACAGGAAAGTATCGGGGCCAGATACTAACAGCAATAGGGGTAGATGGGAACAATCAGGTATTGCCCTTGGCATTTGCTTTTGTTGAGAGTGAGAATACCGACAGCTGGTACTGGTTCCTGAAATTGGTTGAAACAAAAGTTGTTGGTATGAGGCCAAATGTGTGCCTGATACATGATAGGTACGCTGGCATTCTGCGAGCGATAGAAAAGTTGCAGTTTGGGAGTATGGAACGAGGATACCCCGGTGTTTGGGAAGATGTACAGAGTAGGTGGTGCATGCGTCATATGGGAGCTAATTTCTTCAAGCAATTCAAGAACAAGGAGCTCATGAACATGTTCAAGAGGCTGTGCAACCAGAACCAGGAGAAAAAATTCAATGAGCTTTGGAAGAGATTAGATGAGTTGACAGCCAAATGCAGTGATCAGCGTGCAGCGGCTCCATCGACCGCCGTTGCTGACCCTCCTCAAGCTCTTGGACCTCTCCCAACGGATAGTCCAACATTGGTTAGAAGAACTGGATTGGAGATTCGGAAATTTTCTCAATGGATTCTGCATGAACCAAAAGAGAAATGGGCCAAGGCGTATGACACAGGTGGTGCTAGATATGGAATAATGACAACAAATTTGGTAGAAGTTTACAATTGGGTGATGCGCGGTGTCCGTGGACTGCCACTAGTTGGCATAGTGGAGTTCATTTTACATGGGACATGCAGGTATTTTAGGGATCGGTTCCAGGCAGTTCTTCCCTCTATGCCGAACAACAGCATTTTGTTTGGAACTTTCATGCAGAAAAAGCTAGAGGAGTTGCGTAAAAAGGCCATGAAACATCGTGCACTAGTGCCAGGTACCCAACAGCACAGGTTTGAGATACTATGTCAAGATAAGGCAGGCAGGGGTATCTACCGCAAGAGAGTGAAGCAGAAGTGTGTTCTCAAAGCCGACGGCACATGTCATTGCTCTTGTGCAAAGCCAAAGCTGCTCCACAGGCCATGCACCCATGTCATTGCTGCCGCAGCGGAGTGTGGCATACCAGATGCAGTATATGTGTCACAGTACTTCAGTAAGCAAGCAATATATCATACATGGAGCGGCGAGATTTATGGGTTCGGCATAGCTGGGGAGGTCACAGAGACTAACGATGAAGTACTCAATATTCCTGACCCATCGAAGCTCCGAAGCAAGGCTGGAAGGAGGAGGACTCGTCGCATCCACAACGATATGGACGAGTTGGAGGCTGGCAAGGTGAAGCGTTGCAGCAAATGCGATGAACATGGGCACACCTACAAGCATTGTCCTAAAGACAAGGAGAAACCAAGTGCGGCGGAGGCAGGACTATCAGGATCAGCAGCAGATGGAGCTCGCCCTACGGGTGAAGGCACTACCTCCACTCGACCACGTCCTAGGCGTCATCGTGCCACGTCTGGCTACGTGGTGTAGTTCTTATGTTCTATGTTGGCATGTGGCTTTGTTTGTAATTCGTTTCGAACTTATCGATGTGTTTATGTTTCGTCGTGTAATGTCAGACTTCGGCATGTCATGTCTTTTGGTCTCGTGATGTAACGTCAGACTAAGGCGCCTAACGTCTTTAGGTATGCTGATGTATGTCGGACTTCGACACGTAATGTTATGATATATTATCGAGCTCTACATATATGTTAAATTGCATGTCATCGTTATGTACCATTAGTAACGTTTGCTATATTTAAATAGCCTGTACTCTTGTTGTACATAATTATTCTCATGACTTTATTACTATTTCATAATTTTGCAAGTTATCTTTTGTTTTACATTACTACTTTCTGAATTGTTCTAACACGAAACACTATATTTTCCAGAGATGGCACGTCAGGATACACCTCAGTTGTTGGACCCGGCGATAGATCACCGACACCGGTCTCACCTTCCTGCGGTGCAGGGGGCTCAGCTTGGGACGTTCCGGGCACGGACGTGCGGTGAGCTACTCACGGTTCACGACTCCTTTATCGAGAGGTACGAACAGTGTATCACTATAAGTTAGTTGCGCTGTAATATTTTTTATAATGACGCATTAATTTGTTATTGTAGGCTGTGTGAGGCCGGCCTCCTACCGATGTGTCGGCTGGTGGAGGCTGCTGCCGGCGACGCGGACCCGGCCAGACGATGGATTGACAGGTCCCCGTCCAGCTGCGCACGTTCCTAGGCCGACTCCCCCTCCGCACGGAGGTAAGTATTTTTATTACTATTTCTGTACATGCCTCGCACATATAAGTGAGCCGTTTCACTTGCCGATTGCTTCAGGGTTTCGTGCACCGTTCAGCACCCCGCCTTCCTCGGCTAGGCCTTCTGTTGTGCCCCCCACAGGTACTTAAAAAAACAACATTACTTCGACAATCAATTTACATGCATTTTATGTCTTAGCTTACAAGGGTCCCGTTGTCGATGTGTAGGTTTCGCCTAGTTCGCTATGACGCAGGCCGCGCACTTCTCCCAGGCTGCAGGGTCAGCGTCTCAGGCAGCTGCGTCGACCTCGCACTCAGCGCAGTTCTAGCAGTACACCGGGACTTCGTCACAGGTAGCCGGCACGTCGAGTCAGGGTCCACCACTGGACCATGCTGGGACCTCTTCGGACCGCTTGCTGCCTTCCACCTTGCTCTTCGACATCACTGACTTCGACTTCGCTTCAGGCTCGACAGAGGACGTCATCGGCCCCTCACAGTTGGGAGGCGCACCGCCGGTGCAGACGCAGGACCAGGCGCAGGCCACTCCTCCGCGGGACACTCGTGCTACCCATGCTGTGCCACCGGATCGTTTCACCTACTCCCAGGACCATGTGCGAGCACAGGCCCGGAGGACCAAGCGTGGTCGCGGCGCGGGGCAGGGCCAGTAGAGCAGTCTTCTCTTTGTTTATTTGCTTCACTTTCCAGTACTGTATGCTTGTGTAATGACTACGTTGTTGTTATATGTGCACGATACCTTTCGGCGCATGCACGATACCTTTCGGCGCATGCACGACTACTTTCTGCCGCACCGATGCAGCCTCCTTTATTCGCGTGCGATACGAGTATTTTCCCGCCATTTGGCGCATACAACCAATGTAACTTTCGGCGCTGATCAGGCATGTAACTTTCGGCCCCAATCAGGCGTACCCACCATACCCCACCACGTTCACATGTCAGGGGTATCACTCGATTTTTTGCGCCTATATAAGTCGCCTTAACGAGTGAGGCCTCACAATCTTTCAGAACTCAGTCACATTCAGTACTCTCTTCCCCACTTGCTTCATTACAAATCCGACCGGCTTTCGTCAATGGCTAGACGCCGGAGTGTTGAGGATCCAAACTGGCGTAGCGATCCTTGTGTATACCTACTACCACCTTGGTGCCAGCGTCCTCTCTGCCTATGCGGTGATCGATGCCAACTAATGGCTTCGAGGAATCCTGATATTCGAGGAAGGCGCTTTTTTAGGTGCCCTAACTATGACCGTGAGGTATTTTATTATCTGCATATGCTTATTCATTCCGTATGGGCAATCGCTTTATTCTTTGTAACACTACTCTATTCAGCAGACCCGCACTACGGCTTGCGTATACATCGAGTGGGTCGATACAGAAAATCCCGTTCTCGACCTAACCACTTGTTTACAAGAAGGTCGCTGGTATTTCGCATCCGAAAGTACTGAGCAATACTTACAGAGAAAAGCGGCTTATGAACGATAATATCGTGAACAACAGAGTGACTGGCGGGTGCTAACTACGGCACTCCCTCCATGGGAAGCCCGTCCAAGATACAGGTTTAGTGATCGTTGTCAGGTTCTTCGTTCCATAAAGCCTACAACATTGGGTCGAAGGTTCTTTGTTTGTCCAAATATTCTTGACGACGATTTCATGGTAAGAATATTTTGATTACATGAATCCTTATTTTCTCACAACATTTCCTAACTTTGCTCGTTTTACATCTATTCTTTCCTCTTAGGAACCACTAAGGAGATGTCAATACAGAGAATGGATAGACACCAGAAGGGTTCTAACTCTACCTAGTCGTGATGTGCAGCTTGAACTACCAGAGCAATACAGGGTTACTAAAGTGCGGTTTGAGAGAGGAGAGGGATCCTCACGTAGGGGTTAGCTATTATCGGACAACTTGGCATATTGAAATTTCTACTGTCATGCTTCCTTGTCCCATTACTACATTGTCGTTGTGTTCAACTATTGCACTACCTCCCTCCTAGTTCGAATCTAATATCATGTTCAAATTGTACTACTATTTCTTCATGTTACATAATTCTCCTTGTTTAAGTCCATATAATGTTTCTACGACCCAGACTGCGATAGGCCTATATAAATTATCCGAGTACTAATACGTCGAATAAGGTACAAAATAATACCTCACTTAACATATGAAATTGCGCAACAACCAACTTCAATACATTTTTATAACAATATTAACAAGTTTTACCAATAAATACTTCTTTATTTATTATTAACATAACATAGAAAAATCTTTTGGCCGTACTTTTACATCTGGGTCCCTTGCCGCCATCGCGGCAAGGGACCCAGATGAAAAAAGTACGGCCCCAAGCTTTTTATGGGTGGCCAAAATTGCAATTAGCCCCTTGCCGCCCTCTGTATGGGCGGCAAGGGCCTAATCGCAATTTTGGCCGATGGCGGCAGACGGCGCGGTCGACCCATCGTCTGCCACGTCAGCTTGCCGCCCACCATTGAGGCGGTAGGGGCTATTTCTACAATTTTTTTGGTCGATAGATTATTTCTGTAAATATTAAAAAAAATCTAAAAACGAAAAAAATTCTCGAATTTGACTACAGCTTTGGGATAAAAAGGTCCTGATGGGCTGGCTGCTTGTGGATGAAGAGATGATTCTAGATGGGCCGAATGGGGGATAAGTCATCGTACGCCGGCCCAGCACGACCATAAAACCTGCCATCCTCTGCTGCTGCTTGCAACACAAAGACCGAACACACGTTTCTTGCTGAATTCGATGGTGGTTAATTAGGTTGCTGAATGCTGATTAGTCTCATACAATCATCAGCGTTTTGTTTCTCAAATACTGTCCGTCATAAAAAAGATAAACTTCTGGTTATCAATTTAAATAGATCTACATAGTTAGAAGTTGATTTTTTTTTTCTAAGGAGGAAGAGAGTGTAACATTATAAGATGAACCCGGATTCATTTAGTGCAGAAAGCACTTTAACACAACAGATCGATTTTCTGTACTTGTGCAGCATATACTCCCTCCGTCCCAAAAAAATCAATATAGGATTAGAGGGGATATAACCTGTACTCTCAACTCTAGATTGATTTTTCGTGAGATAAAGGGAGTAGATTGCTATCCTTCTGGACCTCTTTCGGATGATAATGAGATATGTGCGAATATGTGCTTGAAATTGCAAAAACCCAATCCTAATGTCTTGGTTTTTTCTCGAGAGATTGTCCATCATACGGGCCTGGTCATGATCGACAATGGATGTTGGGCCACACCTGGGCTAGACAGGTCAATAGCTGACGGACGGGTACAGCAACGAGCAATTATTTTTTTTTTCGAGAAATAGGGAATATATTATTTCCTCCGTTTTATATTATAAGATTTTATAGTATTGTTCATATTCATATATATGTTGATGAATAGACATATATATGTGTGTCTAGATTTATTAATTATAACCTGAAACGAAGGTAGTACTCAAGAGAAGCTTCCTCACAAACCATACGTGAGATAAAGTTATAAGTATTTTCTAGCCAGAGCCCAAACACATATTCGCATCGAGCCTTATTCGCTAAAATATGGCTAATACAGTTTTAGCTCCTCTGGCCCTTGATGAATTTAGGGCCTGTTCACATTGGTGTCATTTTCAACCTTACCAAATTTTGGTAAAGTTGCTAAAAAAAGTGACTATATTTAGTTTCCTGCCAAATTTTGGTAATTATATAAGAAATCATGTTAAAATTTTGGCAAGTTACCAAAATTTTAGCATTTGATAATGCCAAAATTTGATAAGGTTTTTTTACAGCAAGATGAACATGCCCTTAATCTCCCTATTTCCTAATAGCAGGTCCTTGACCTTCACGGATCAGAAAGGCTATGTCCGAATATATCCTCTCCTCATACTGAATCATATTGATTGCAGCCAGACAGTCCGACTCAATGATGATCGGCACCAGGGTCCACTGCAAGGCCCGAGCAATTCCTTCTTTACAGGCGAGCATCTCTGACTCTGCCTCCAGTGCACTATATGGCAATGAGCAAGGTGATCATAAGATGCAAACATAATCTTCCCAGCACTATCTCTTAAGTCTTAACACAGCACCTATGCCCCCCTTAAGCTTAAGGGGAGTGACGTACGGGAATTTCTGTGAAAACATTACATATATTTTTAACATATATATCATTTTAAGTATGTTAGATTAGATTAAATAGATGTATATAAAGATATATGCATGTACCAATACATATATTTGTACGTATTCTGTACGAGTACATATGCGCAGGCATGATTCATGATGTAATGTGATTCACTACTAGAAAAATCATTTTTTTAGGCGGCCAAAAGTAGTTTTTTCAGGCGGGGGAAGGACCGCCTATAGACCAACGACTGCGAAAATCGATAGCCCGCCTACGAAAATCCTCTAGACGAACAAACCGGCCCCGCGCCTTGCCGCTCTCCCCCGGCCTCCCTCCGGCCGTATCTGGGAGGGGAGCCGCGCCGGAGCCGCCGCCCCCGCCCCGCGCGTTGTCGTCGCCACCCCGCGCCGTGGCTGGCCCCACGCCTCGCCTCACCACCGCCGCCCTCCCCTGACCTCCCTCCAGCCGGATCTGGGAGGGGAGCCGCACCGCCGCAGTCGCCGTCCGCGCTGCCGCCGTCGCTCCCCCTCCGGCGGGGAGGGAGGGAGGGAGGGGAGGGGGACGGGCCCGGTGGGGAGAGGAGAAGAAGTGTTGAGGGAGAGAGAGAGAGTTGAGAGGGAAATGAGTGGTAGGGAGGGGGTGGGAGGAGAAGATAAGGAGTTAAGATTTTTTTTTTTTGTGGTAGGTACGATTTTTGCAGGTGGAGTACATAAGGTTCGCCTGCAGGCATCGCTTAAGTAGTCCGCAGGCGAACAGCGAACTTCACCCCGATTTATATTTTTTAGGCGGTCATTTGGTTCCAAGGGTTATGTCAGCCTGCGAAAAAAAGACCCCAATGTCGGGAAAAATGCTTTTTCTAGTTGTGATTAATAATCCTTTTAACTAGATGATGTCCGATGCTTTGCTGCGGGATATGTGTTAGACAATGTAGAAATGATAAAATAATTTGGATTGAAATATTATGAAAATAATTTGAGAATGATGATTTAGCATGTGTATGTTTAGTTTTTAAATGAAATAAATTGTAGATATAATTATTATATGTTTGTATGTTGAGCTTTTTGTGTTTAATGGGTTGATGTGGCATGCTTGCATGTAGCTTTTAGGAGTGCTAATAAATATTATGCTTGCATGTTAGTTTCAGGTGTTTAATGCACATTAACTTTATTAACTTTATAGAAAGAAGGGATTCCTGCATGAGACCATCGAGTTGCAGAAGTAAAGGAAGCAATGGGTCGTATCCGTATGCGAGCCTGTTTGGTAGAGCTACAACTCCTAAATTTAGCTCCAGGAGTTGAGTCTGGAGTGGAGTTGTGGAGCTGTCTAAAACCAGCTCCACCTCTCTAGTTCATTTTGTGAGAGCGCTCCACCCAGCTCTGCGTGGAGCTAAAACTGTTTGGCTGGGCTCCAACTTCATGAGAGGTGGAGCTAGAGCTAGAGCTGTGCCAAACAGACCCGCACGTTTGCTCATGGGCTGACTGCTTCTATGTCTGTTTGTGAGCTGAAGGAATGTTGAATGGACAAAACTGATCGGACAGTTATATATGAGATATAATCTCCGTTGTTATAATTTATAGAGTAAAATGCACCGATGGTATCACAACTTACGAGGTGGGTGCAATTTAGTCACTCATCTTGTAAATTGCTCAAACAAGTCACTCATCTTGCTTCGATAGTGCAAATGTTATCAAATACATTTTCACATCGATTGTTTGTTTTCAAATTGGAGTCCATATTAACCTAGCATCATGCATTTTTTACCAATGTAGACAGGATAAGCATTAAAATTACAAATTAACACTTATATTTTTATGTATATACTACTACCCCTACTTTCAATGAACACGGTCATATTGTGCTTGGCAATCAATAACAAAATTCATCATTAATTGAATTTTACTACCGGTAGTATTGCACGTTGGATTATTTATGAATCGTGTGACCATGTTTGCAAAATAAATTAATATAGCATATAACTTCATTGCGAACACTCCATACGACACATGTTTTATATGATTTACACCCCCAAAACAAGATGAGTGATTTGTTTGAGCATTTTACAATATGGGTGACTAAATTACACCCACCTTGCAAGTTATGGTAATAACGGCGCATTTCACTCTAATTTAAACCTACCGCGACCTGGCAGTATAGTTATTTATTTTTTTTCTCTTCAATTAACGTGTATGGTGATTTCGTTTTAGCTATATTTAGATAGATTTTTTTTTCCAAAAAGCATAACCCATGTTGTGACAATGGCCATATCATGTACGTTGCTTTCTTATGGTCTGGCAAAAATTCTGAAGCAATTAGGAGTCAGATTCTCGTCTCGAGTTAGCATGCATAAAAAGCGTGGTTGAATTTCAAAACCAAAATTCAGTTTGGTTTTGAAGTTTCTTATTGCCTAAGAGCAAGTTCAATAGTATAGCCTACTACTAGCTCCAATTTATTTATAGCCGATCTAATAGCCAATTCATACAATAGTTGCGTACTATATTATTAACATATGGTCCTACCTGTCATACACACATTACGTCTTGAAGTCCGTACTGCAGCTGGCTACATATTTGTAGCCCGCTGCTTTTCTCTCTCATCTTTTATCTCATGAAAATATGTTTATAGCTGGCTAATAGCCCGCTATTGTACATGCTCTAAAGACTCCTTTAAAACACATAAATTGAAAAAACACACGACTTAGTAACAAGGATTGTTAATTCTTATAGAAAGACAAAAGGAAATTTTAAAATAGGTGTTGTTGTATCGCAAGAAAAATTGTAAGAAAAAAATTGAAAACATGAGCTATGACAATTCGTTATTTTCATATAAAATCACTTTAGGATTGTTTATTCCATAGAAATTTCAAACAAAACAGTAGAATTCAATATTTTTCCTTTAATAAAGGGTTGTATGATAGGAGATTTTTCTCTATGATTACAATCCTTAAAATTTCTCGTACCAATCCTCCCATTCAAGAGGGCCTAAAATTTAACGGAATTACCCCAAACTTAGAGTAAATCTCGTGAAATCGGAGAAAATTATTCATCTCCTTCCTCCGACTTTCAACTCACATCGCTCCTCCCGTCCTCCCCTACCTGGAGGCTGCAGCTCCTGGCCTCCCGGGCAACTAGGGTTCGGCAAATCCCCCGCAAGGAGGGTGAAACCCTTCCCCAAAACTCCCCAATCCCCACCCGACCTTCTTCGAAATCGGAGGCAAAACCCTAATCGCAAACAGCTCGTCCTCGCGCGGCCGCCGCTCCGCAGCAATGGCGTCCCTCTTCAAGGTACGGATTCCCCCCCCCCCCCTCCGAAACCCTAGCTACCCGAGCTCGTCGATTCCCCCTCCTCTCGCCCTTCCTCTGAGGCGGCTCGCCCGATTCGCTTTTCCAGGACCCGACCAAGCTGTCCGCGTACCGGGACAGGCGGTTCACCGGGACGCAGGAGGAGTACGAGGCGGCGCTGCAGGCGTCGGTGACGGTGTACGTCGGGAACATGTCCTTCTACACCACGGAGGAGCAGGCCTATGAGCTCTTCTCCCGCGCCGGCGAGATCAGGAAGATCATCATGGGACTCGACAAGAACTCCAAGACCCCCTGCGGCTTCTGCTTCATACTGTACCCTCTCCTTTCCTTCCTCAATCCGTTTTTTTTTTAATACAAGAGATGTAGTTTGGTGCTATGTTCAAATTAAAGGTGCTGCTTCTGTTTTATTCTAGTATAAGCGGGTGTCCAAATGTAGTTTGGTGCCTTTTAAGATGTTTTTCTAGTTCTAGTTATGCATTGATTTAACAGTGAAGTATCAATGGTGGTTGTGACTTGTGACAGAGAAGCTAAGGGAGTTTTAGGAGTCTGATGTTGTGTTGGTACTGGCAGGAATGTGTGATTTTCCCTAGAATACGGGCAGCAAAGAATTCTATCTCAGTGCGAATATTTGGCTTGAGCAGTTAGATATTGCTATTGGTTAAGTGAGTAATTTTGTAGTAGTGAGCTCATATGTGGCTCCTTGGAGAGCTGGTTTTGGTCCGCTAGTATGGGCCAATATAGTGCACCAAGTTTCTTGTTTTTTACCCTTTGTTTGGTTACTTTTAATCTGATGTAGTGTTGATTAGTCCGCAATATGGTCCAGATGTGTCTTGGTTGTCGAGGGGGCATGGTTTAAGTTATATTTGGCCAACTGGTGATTTTTGAGAGTCTATTGGGATCTTTTTTATGTATTCAGGCTCTTGTTTTGGTGTTTTGTGTTCGAATTTGGGGTTTTGTATGCTGGTAGTTAGCCATACTTTGTACCTCTAATTCGAAATGTGGCATCATCTTGATCTCTGATCTGTTAAGGTTAGAGTATGTCTTTTTTGTTCATTCAAAAAATATATACCACAGTTCCTTTAACTGGTGTGCGTGTCTTGGATTCCTGGCAGCAAGGCACCCCTTGAATTATCAATCTTCTATTAACCTTACAGTTATGGAAGGGATTATTCTCTGATAGGCATATATTGCTTTATTGTCTTGTGCATCGGGCATGTTGTTAGTTTATATTGGATTTTGGAAGATGTAAAAATGACATTTATCTAGTTTGAGCCAACGGTGTATGTGCTGTTAGCCTACATATCGTTATAATACCTTCCTTCCTTTCAGGTACTACTCCAGGGAGGATGCTGAAGATGCGGTCAAATATATTAGTGGAACAATGCTTGATGATCGCCCAATTCGTGTTGATTTTGATTGGGGCTTTGAAGAAGGCAGACAATGGGGTCGTGGACGGAGTGGTGGACAAGTATTACCATGATCTTATTCTGCATGAATAACAAATGTATGACATTTGACCATATTTTTGATGATAGTTCATGTTTCTTTTTTCATAGGTAAGGGATGAGTACCGCACGGACTACGATCCTGATATCCTTTGGTACTATTGAATTACCATTTATTACATTTAGAGCGGGGTTATGCTGGTAACTCAGAAACCCATCCGTGTTAGTTCATACTGATGAAAATGTTACCTGTAGATCCATCCTAAATATGGCAATTCAACTATCTGCTGATTGTTTCTTAATAGCGCTCCTTTAAATTTTGTATGCCTTTACATGCTGCTATGTTTTTTCTGTTGAGTTGGCTACTTCCTTAATGAATCTTACGAAGAGGTGGCTATGGTAAGATGGTTCAGAAAGAGCTAGAAGCACAACGTGAGTTAGTTGACTATGGAGGTGCTTTTCAACCTAATGCACCACCTCAATGTAAGTGCTGAAAGTTTTGAGGACTGTACCTTAAGCCTTTAACTACATCCTTGTATAATTTTCATTTGTGTTAACCTTATTAACTGCAGTAATTGCTTTGTTAGAGATTTGCATGTGTGGCCTCTTGATATATTTTTCAATTGGAAGTATTTTATGGTGAAACAATTTGCTTTATAACTGGTCCGATCATATTTACATGAAGTTAGCATTCATGCATAATGTAGCCTTTTTTTATTCTAGTAAAGCATAATTAGACATTACCTTTTTCTCTGGTGACCATGTGTGCCTTTCCACTATTGACTCTGATCTCACTTGTTAACTTTAGCTGCATTTTACCTTGTCGTTTGCCACCAAAAAGCGTTGGTTGAGAGTTTGGTTCACTGCTTTATTTGATTCAATCCTTGGCAGCATACCGTCCAATCAATTTACTGTTTATCTTCTGTCCAAACATGTTCCTGATTATATTTCATCATTTTCACAAATCTTGGCATTTTTTGAAATATGCAGATGACAGAGGTGACAGGAAGAGAGGGTATGGAGATTCTTACCGGAACGACAGAGGTCGCACATCTCGCATATTCTTGTTCTTTTCTTTCCCCTGAACTAATAGCTAACACAATCTGGTGTGCTGCCACCAGATTACCAACGGAAACGTTACCGGAACGATGAGCGATCGTCGCAAAGAGCACCTGACTCTGAGTTCAAGAGAGATGCGATTGATTCGGTATTAGAGCCTGCATACGTGTCATCTGGCTTTTCCTGTACTACCCCTTCGGAAAAACAATATGTTTACAAAATATCTCGTGGTTATGTTTGCAGGAGAAGAATCCTAGGTTTCGTGAGAAAGGTGATTCTGATGAAGAAGACGATGATTATGATAAGAGACGCCGGCGCTGAACTGAAAGAAACAATTGCTGATAAATGCAAATGGGCAGTTGCAGTGACTACACTAGTAAAGCCCGTCGAGCTTATGTTTTTTACCCTGTTGTGTACCATATGACTTATATATCTGTCGTCAGCTCATTTCTATGTTGCGGTTCATCACCACATGCTTGCATAGGTCTCGCATGCGACTGGGAATGGATTTTGTGTTTATTGACACTTCAGCTTATGTATTGACCTGTTATTTAGGTTGGCAACTAATTGATTTTGGTCGGTAACAATTACCTTGCGAACTATCTGAAAAACTGCCGCCTTAAACTTGCAAATACTCGCTTGTTCCTGGTGTTAAGTGAAAATGTTGGTTTAGCACTTGTTAATTGTGAAACTTCGGTCAAAATATATGGTCTAATGTGAAAATTACTCATTATCGAACGAACAACCGCGAACCTTCCTGCGGCTTTCTGATACAATACTACGATGTTGATTTCGCTGACATTGTGCATCGACGTTTACAGATAGCAAAGTCGATAGCAAATTAATATGTGAATGATCACTTCTCTGAGGCCGGCCGGCAGTCATCGAGATCATGAAGATCGTGGAGGAGCTCCTCCTTCCGGCGCTGGCCGCCGACTTGACCAGCCGGCTCGTCTCCCTGCTGATCCGCTCCTACCGCAGCCGCGCAACCACCGGCGTGGTGGAGGACGACGACCTGGAGAAGCTCCAGCTGCTGCTCCTTGAGCTGCACGCTGCCGTCGACGAGGGACAGGGCCGGCACGTCACGAGCCAGAGGCTGCTCCTGTGGCTCCGGGAGCTCACGCAGAGCATGTACCGGGGCTACTACGTGCTGGACACCTTCCGCTACCGCTCCGTCTCCATCCAGGCGCAGCAGCAAGACGACGCTCGCGGCGCTGCCGCCAAGCGGCTGCGCACCAGCGCCGGCGCCGCGGTGCGCCTCGTGCTCGGCAGTAGCAGCAGGGACGACGACGACTCGTCCCGTGCCCTCGCCCGCGCCCTCGCCCATCTGCAAGCCGTCCTCCAGAACGTGACCCCGTTCCTCCAGATGCTGGGCACCTACCGGCGGGTGCCCCGGAGGGTCAGCGTGGACACGGAGAGGTGCGTGCCGATCGGGCGTCACGTCGAGAAGCAGCGGATCGTCGCGTTCCTGCTCAAGGAGGACGAGGCGGCTGCGCACGTCGTCGGCGTCCTTCCGATCGTCGGCCCTAGGGGCACGGGGAAGAGCACCCTCATACACGATGCCTCCCACGACGCGAGAGTGCGCGCGCACTTCGCGGTGATCGAGCGCTTCGGCCTCGACGAAGTGCTGCTGCCCCTACACGCCGCTGGAGCGGGCGCAGCCGCCGCCACGGACGACACGTCAAGCCGGAGCTTGGAAGATCACCGGATTTACCTCGACGCGGTGCACAACATCGTCCGGCAAGAGCGCTTTGCCCGGAACAGGTCCCTGCTCATACTAGAGGACGCACCGGCCGTCATCGAATTCGCCGAGACAGCGTGGGTCCTACCAATGGCTCACGGGAGCAAGGTCGTCGTCACGAGCGAATACGACCAAACCAAGGCGGGTCTCGGCGCGACGGAGGAGGCAATCAGAACCAAGAAGATGTCCAAGGAGGAGTACTGGTACCACTTCAAGGCGCTCGCCTTTCGCGGAGCGGCGAATGATCCAGCAGGGCCGGCGCACCCAGCGCTGGCGGCTACAGCTAAAGAGATCGCATCCGTCCTGAACGGGTCATTCCTAGGGATGCATATATTGATCGCCCTGATGCGATCCGACCCAAGGGAGTGCTTTTGGCGCGCCGTACTCCAGAGCCTCGTGGATCTCTGCCGCTCCTCGAACTCCAAGAGGATCAAGGCCGACATGGGCTACGTGCAGGAGTTCGCGCTGATCGGGCGGATCGCTCTCAAGCTTGTGCTTCCGATGCGTCTCACGCTTCGTAGCTGCTCCATCACCAAGCAGGGGGGCGATCCTCAATTAGGACCTGAGCTTAATCGTGTGGCAGGAGGGATAGCTTACAGTTGTCGCAGTGATGACTCTGGGTGCGTGGATGTCATCCTATGCAGATCACGCATCCCTCCCTACGAGATCTACAAGCTCTCCTGCGTCATGGAGGAAGAGGTCCATCTAGAACGTGCGTCCTAGAAAAATGAATTTGGTACCCTGTATAAAACCATGTTAATTTGCTTGCTTCTAGGTAGTATATGATCTTGATGAAATTTACGTCTTGCTTGCGTATGTACGGACCCATTCTGTTCCATTGATGTACAGTGACTGTGAACTAAACGGAAATTTATTTTTTGTATCACTGATCATGCTTCCTAGACATTTGACTACCGCTTCAGTGAATTTGAAACCCAGTTAATTAAAAGTTATGTACAAAATCCAGTGAATGTCAACCTGCTGCAACGGTCTCCATGTTAACACTAGTCAGAGTAACCGTCGTCCCCGTCGTGCTCCTGGTAGTAACGCCGGTCCAGAACGAGTGCTTGGCAATGGCAGCGGCGCGGCGGCAAAAGTCCTCCACAACGGCCGCGCGCTCCGCCGGGAAGCCGGCGGCAGCGACGGCCATCTCCTCGGCCTCCAGCCTCTTGCTCACTTGCTGACCAGGAAGAAGTCGCCGCTCTCGTACGTGAACTGGCCGGCGAATTCTGCAATATAGCTGTGAAACAGTATAGCACATATACCTAGCTCTGAAATATGATGCGCCAAAACGGCTGTAATCACTTGGCAGCAAAAATATGGCACACACTTTTTATTGAACCAACCGATCAAGTTCAGACTTTCACTCATTGTCAGAGAGGCATCCAAGAAGAACAGCTAAGGGACAGCCTGCTACAGATTCAACAGCAGCTAAGTGATCAGGAGAGCAGCTTGGCACGAGTGGCAGGATCTTCCTTGCTTTCCACCCACATCATGAAAACGTAGCCGAGGCACCAGAGAAGAACATATTGGAATGGAACCCAACAAAGCAGTGCCACAAGGCTGAGCATGCTGCCAACATATTGAGGGTCTTTGATATAACCAAATGGAAATTCTGTCACCCATGGGATTTTCTTTCCAAATCGAACACCGTAGTAGGTGCCTGGCTCACCGAGCAGCTGGTACACCCTGAAGAGAAATCACATATATCAGCCACAAGCTAACTAACTGAATGATGATTACCCCTTCCGTCTTTGTGATAAATACAGAATTTAGTCTACTATAAACTGTTGTGTACTATACTCATATTACCAAATGCTCAAATAATATGTGTTGCCGAAGTGGCCGTTTCAAGATTATAGGAAAGTGTTTTTATTCTGTTAAAGAGACGTTAAAATCAGAATAAAAACAAATTTTGGAGCTTGAGTGCCTCCTCGACTACCTCAGACTATTTCCTACTGGTGTAAAGAGTTGCTAGAAGTCCAACATAGAATGCATAGGAATTAGCATAAAAATAAGTTAGCAGTGACTAATCCCCAGGGTAGTGGCTTCACAGGTATCAAACTCAATGAGTCATGGATTAGCACTGTTAAGTCTATGACACTTAACTTACTTTTGCATCACTAAGTGTCTAAATCGCTAACAATTGTAAACAATTCTAAATGTTTATAACTAATATTGAAGGCCCTATCTTATTTCAAGGTATGGCAATCATTTAAGGAAGATAGGGCTTTAGGACAAAAACTATAGCAAAAATGATATTGTTAAAATGCAAAACAAATACTGAACGAGAACGGGACAACTACAATAGATGCATCAGTCCATTATAGAGCATTATGAGTACACATCAACTTAAGATGAAATTTGGCCCCTTTTTTTTCATATTAGATGAGAGCATTGCTTGTGCTTTTAAAATTATACTCCAGCTATAAGTTTTTTTTTTTTTGTGTGTGTGTGTGTATTGTAGATGCCATTCTGGCAAATCATGGAGAAAATTCATAAATCAGTAATAATTGGTAAATAGAAGCAGATGATCGTTGTTCCTGCTTGAAAATCGTCCCATCCCTTACTCATCCCTTGTCCCTACAGCAAACTGTTGATTCTGCAGCACTAAATCGACAAACGACCAACACAGATTTATACAATCGCAAATTTTTGGTGCTGAACTGCAATTAGTGGATTATTGATCATGGAAAGATCACAGATGGGAACAGATAAATTACACCGAAAACCTAGCACAACACACATAGAAACTAGAAAGTCGCAGACGATCCGAACGCGAGGGGATAGCATCGCGTCCGACTGTCGGAAGAGGGGTTTAGGGGATATATCTCGCTTACTTGAAATTGAGGTACTGGCCGACGGCGAGGAGGGCGACGGAGTAGAGCGGCGGCGGCCAGGAGAAGGAGGCGACGGAGGCGAGGGCGAGGAGCTGCAGCGCCTTGAGGACGTGGGACACCTGCGCCATCCGGCGGCACGGGTCCACGCCGCCGCCGCCTCCGCCGCACAGGTCGACCCACCGCTGCGGGTGGTTCCAGAGCGCCCAGTAGAACGGGAACGGCAGCAGCACGCCGACGGCCGCCGCCGCCATTTCCATCTCGTTGTCGAAGGCAGAGCGGTCACGAGGGGCTCGTGGAATTTTCGTGTCGTCGCGACGGCACACTACTTGGGTCACCTGGGGCGACTCACACTAGACATCCTGGGGTCACGAGCCTCGTGACATACTGACATGTGTAAAGTCTACTAGTAGTAATGCCATGTATTCTTCACCGTCACTTGGTTGCTAACTACTATATACTCAGCAAATGATGCCTTTGTTTCAAGAGATTTCTCAACAGATTTAAAACTTAAACGCTGCGGCAAGCATGTCACTTGCTACAACTCTGCTAATGATGCCTTTGTTTCAAGACAGGGCGCCATCGTTTTGCAGACGCTGTTGCTTTTCAGCAGTACCTGATGCTTATAAACATCAGCAATTCCATTGTTTTGCTTATAGCTGATTAATGGATCTTCTGTAAACTGATGCATTGCCTCTGCTTGTCTGCCTGTGTGTGTTGTGTGCTCGTCAGCACTGACTCCAGATGCGTGGCCGTAGATAGATTCCGACATGTATAGGGCCCACTACCAATAACGGTTCGCATTTAGGCTGTAACAGCGAACCGATACGCTTCTACTGCAAAACAGCAGCCGCAAAAGCGAACAGATGCATCCTATATTTCTCGACAGATTTAAAACTTAAAAAAGCTGCGGCAAGCATGTGAGATAGTAGTACCATCCTAGGACAGCTCAAAAGTACTACGTCACCGTTAGGATACAAGTCTACTATGTAAGGACAGCATGTGAGTTAGTGAGTATATATGTTTAATGTTTTTGTTGAGGTTTCTCAAGAAATCCAGTGCATAGCCTGCTTCTTGATGGCAAATTGCAAGACTGGAGATCATCTGTTTTTGTTTAAGGTTTCCCATGAAATCAAGTGCATAGCCTGATTCTTGATGGCAGGTTACAAGACTGGACTGGGAAATTTCTAGATGGTGATCGAGTGACCGGTAGTCCACAAGACCACAAGCACACAAGGCACCAGGCACGCTTTAGGGGTTAACCAGAAGATAGACAAGGAAACGTATTTTGCATCGAGTGACTGGTAGTCCACAAGCACACAAGGCACCAGGCACGCTCTAGTGGTTAACCAGAAGATAAGACAAGGAAACGTAAGGCGTGTTTACTTTGGGCTGGTTTGGTTTGAGGCATAAATTGGTATTATCAATATTTGATAATTTTAATAGTGTTTACTGTTTATTTGGTTTGAAGCCAAATTTTGGCATGTCTAAGAAAATATGTCATTTCAATAGTTAACTTAGTCTATTTTGGTTTCAATCCAAACACAACTTTGCCTTGCCAAAATTAGTCATGCCAAAACTTGTCAAAATTTAGCATTGACAAATATTGGTAAGACCAATTTAGGTCACAAACCAAACCAGCCCTTTGATGCTATTTTCAACCATACCATCTTTTTTAAGTTATTAAAAAAATGTCTACGTTCAGTTTGTTGCTAGATTTGCTAAATACATAAGAAATCCTACCAAAATTTTGATAATATTGTCATCCTGCCAAAATTTTAACAATATTACCATCCTGCCAAAATTTTGGCATTGCCAAAATATCATAAGGTTTATTTTGGTTAAAATCCGTACAGGCCCGTATTTTGCAGCGAAATGTTGGAAACAAGAAAAAACAAAAGAGCAAATATTGGAAACAAGAAAAAACAAAAGAGCTGATCGAATTCTCTACTACTGTTGTTTTACATGATCTCCAATACTCCCAACCGATCAAAAACCAATTTACCTCTGCTTATCATTGCAACTGCTCGATGAACGGAGAAAATTTCCTAACCATAACAATTGACCACACGCGGAGGAAACAGAAATTTTGAGGCAATATCAACACTCAGCGTCAACAGCAGGAAGGGGGAAATTTTGAGTCAAATTTCTAACTCTATCCTATTACCTGCTTGACACATTCCAGAAAAACATCAAAATTTCTGGACTTTTCCTGTGAAATAAAAAATAAAGCCCCATCACTCAGCATTATCATCATCAAAACCATCATCTTCAGCCTCCTTGACCTTTTGAGGTGCTACACTATCTTCAACCATCGCAGGATCGTCATACACGGGTTTTTCAGGGCCTGGTCCTGCAGACACCTTGACCATAGCAGGGCGCAATAATCTCTCCCCAAGTTTAAAACCCTTACGAAATTCCTGAAGGATGACCCCTTCTTCATACTCCACTGATTCTTCTCTCATAATAGCCTCATGAAGCTGAAACAGAAGGTGCACAAACAATTCTTATTAAGAAAAGTAACACCCTTTGAAAACCCAAGAAATTTTGGAAAATAAAATAGATTCCTACACATATCCAGCCCTTTATAGTAGACTTATCACCCAAAACCATGGAAGGCACAAAATTTAAAAGAGACATGGAAATTTCAATATTTGAGTAAATAAGTGTTTGATTCAAAAGTTAACTGGATTAGTATGTCATGTGCTGCTAACAATGCTTACCATAGGATCAAATGGTTTGCCAACAGTCTCCACATCTTCAACTCCTAGTGAGTTCAGAATATCAATAAATTGCTTATAAATGCTCTGATAGCTGTCGTTTATTTTTGTTTCTTGCTCAGTTTCCACCTTTATTTGTGTTTTTGCTCTTTCAAAGTTGTCGAGGACAGGCAGCAAGCTCTCTATAACTTCCCCTTGCACATTTGTCATCAACGAAAGCTTCTCTCTTTCTACCCTTTTCCTGTAGTTATCAAAGTCAGCACTTATCCTCAAGATACGGTCTCGCTCAGTTGTCAATTCTGCACCTAAGGTACTGATTTTGCTCAAAAGAGAATTTTTCTCCTCCTCAATAGAGAATAAAAAGTCCTCTATCTCAGCGACTTTTGTTTCATCATCATTAATCAAAGCTTCCTTGTATGATTGCAATGCTGTGACAATAACAGAGGGAGTTTCTTCTGTGGCTGCAGCGGCATCATCTGCACCAGTTTCTCCAGTTTCAGAATCCTCCTGTGACATCAAAAAAGATGTCTAAATGAGAAGCCAAGTGTTTCTATTGACAAGGGTCAACTTCTTTTGCTTTTATATTAGCAGTGGAAGTGAAATAACATACTGCTACTGTGCTACATGCCACCTCAACAACTGTCAGTATTACATTTATACGACTCTTCAGCAGAATGCAGTTTCTTACCTCAAATATTGACAAAGAGATGCACTACACTCTTGTGCTATAAACCTATAATATAATCTGCACAGGCCCTCGCGTTAAAAACTGGAAAATGAAATGGTCGCATTACTGACCTACTATATAATCTAGCCTTGCTCTTACAGAATCTAAGGAAATAGAACAGGATAGCTAAATGTGACTAGTAAAGAGTCAGAGAAAAGATTTTTGCAACAATGCAATAACTCCATGTTATCAAGTAACTCGATTGCAAAATACACATGGGCCAAAGATAGGAAACATTGAGAAAATAAAATAGCATCTTCACACGTGTAAGCACAGGGAAGTGTGGAAGGCACAGCTAAAATGCATTCATAATACTGAAGTTACACAACAACTATGGCAAACACTTACAAGTACTGATGTACAAGTTCCTAAAAGAGGACCTATGCCAAATGTGATTCCCCAATAGATCAATGACATGCAAAATAGATTGGAAATAATCCCATATCAGCAAAACTTTGCTATTTCCAGCCTTAGTCATGAAAAAGAACAGATCCTTCCAACTTTCATACTCCCTCCATCCACAAAAGTTACACATATTACTTTTGTCACCAAAACCAAGGAGAAATTAAATCATCTTGGATGTTACAAAATCAAGTAGTGAATGCAAGCATGCAACCAATGAGTATTTAAATGACTCCTTGGGTTCTAATCAAACATTTAATTTATCTCTTCATTTATGTATTGAATGCATGAAGACTACAAATAGGAACAACTTATTTGGAAAAACTCAAATGTGAAATATGTCTAACTTTTGTGGATGGAGGGAGTACTGCACAATGGCTAAGCTAAATAAAACATTTATTTATCTTGACCAGCTTGAGGTCCACATGGTTATGCTGAATGCAAATTAAGAAAAGCAACTTACTTTAGAATGTGAACCATTAGAAGTCAGGAAAAAGTACTTTAGTTGGCATTCCATTAGAATTTTACCAAACTAATTAAATCAGGTGAAACAAAAATCCTACATTGAGTATTAAATTTCCTGAAGCTACCAATGAAGGTCAAATTCAATCATTTTATCATCCATCATGATAAGCCAAGCTTTCACATAGGTAGTGCAGAACTTTTGCATCACCCAAATAAAGCACAGAATGGGATTTCTTTGTTAATTGACATAATAGCATATAGAAAAAGCTGATCAACTAAACATAAAACCACCCACAAGATTCCTGCATCTAAAGCCAGTTCGCATTAATTCGATGGATACATAAGCTTAAATGAGATATGGTACAAACAAGGTAGATACTACTCGTAAACAATTCGTGCAGAAAATGCTAGTATGAAGCGATCAAATACCACACCATGACCTAAAAGAGTTACTAATACACAAAACTTGTGTATCCTACGGATGAGCAATTTGTGGTTCTGAACCAAGCACTGCTATCTAGCTTTTATCTGATACGCTACAAAATTACAAATCTGATAGGCCCTCTTCAAAACTAACTGCTTATCGATCGGATAACAAAGTAACAGCATGATTTACAGAAGCTACAGCAAAAAAATCACCCCCCGATGGGGGATGGGGAAGCAAGCCCCTCTCACCTCAGTCGCCGTCTGCGCGGCCTCGTCAGCCTCGGTGGCTCCTACCCGCGGCCGCCGCCGCAGCAGCGGGCCCGCGACGAAGCCAGGGACTCGCCGAGCCGCGGGCGGCAGGAGCGGCTGCGCCCGGAGCGGCCGCGCCGCCGCGCGCCTGGCGAAGGCGAGCGACGAGGCGGCGGAGGACGGCCGGCGCGGATCCCGGGCGGGAGACGGCGGCGGCGCGAGCGCGGCGGCCGTGCGGAGGAGAGCAGCCATGGGTGAGGGGGGATTGGAGGGAGGGGGGCGGAGTTTGGCTTTGGCCGCTGCACGCTGTCGCTCGCTGGCTATCGTCGAGTCGAGCAGCGCGCACGGCACGGGGATAACTCGCGCGGCGCCGGCTCGGACGGACGAACGGACGGACGGGATGGATGGGTCGAGAATAGAGATGGGCGCTTCTGGAAGGAGGCAGGGGTTGGCCGGTTCGGTTGTTAGCCTGCTTGATGGGTCCGGTCTATGGAGAAGTGGATGGGCCCTGTTCTGGAGGCTTAGCCGGTGAGGAGAAAAAGGACAATATGCCACTTCATACGGTGGATTTCGATAAAATGCCACCTAATATATTGGAAAGGATAAAATGTCACTCAATCAGTGTGTTTGGATAATGGAAAATGGGGGTGAGATTGAGATTGAGAAATGAATGAAGGGTTAGCATTAAATGAAAGAGGGAGAATGAATGGCTAGGATTTAAAGATGCATTTTAATGGATGGGAAATCATTTCCCTATACCATTAGCCAAATAGGGCTAATAGGTTATCTTTGGGATATTTTGCCACTTTGAAGAGGTTTAAGACAAATATACCCCTACTATGGAGAGAGAGAGGAAGGGAGAGAGAGCCAGAGAGGGGAGTCGAACGACGGCGGCCGTGGTCGCCGGTAGCGGGCGGCGACGAGGGAAGAACGAGTGCCGTCTGTGCTCCCGCTAGCGGCGACAAGGAGAGGAATAAGATGCCGGTAAGCGCGCGAGGTGGCACCGGAGGGGATGAGCGCACGTGCGGGCAGCGCTGGAGAGCCCTCCACGTCATCGCCGTTGCCTCCTCCCTCCTCCCGTCGGCATTGCCCTCCTCACCCATCACCGCCGCCGTCTTCCTCCCCCATCGCAGTCGTCATCTTCCTCCCTTGTCGCAGCCGTTGTCTTCCTCCCTCTTCGTCGGCGTCTTCCTCCCCCATCGCTGTTGTCTTCTTCCCCCATCGTCGTCGTCGTCCTTCCCGATAAGCGTCGTTGTCTTCCTCCCCCATTGCAGTTCTCGTCTTCCTCCCTCTTCGCCGCCATCTTCCTCCCCCTGTCTGCATGTCACAGCCCGCCCCCCGTGTGCTCGCCACCCGCTGCCGGCGAGCATGAGCATCGTCCGGGTCAACCTTCCGCTCCTCCCTCTTCCTCTCTATCCACAGCTAGAGGTATTTTGGTCTTAAAATCCCTCAAAGTGGCAAAATATCCTGAAAGTAACCTACTGAGTGGCATTTTATCCTTTGCAATGTATTGGGTGGCATTTTATCTAAACCCACCAAATGGAGTGGCATATTATCCTTTTTCTCGCCGGGGGTGACAGGACAGGAAGCCAAGAGAAGCAACAGGTAAACAGGGTCATATGTTTTGTTTCAGTGCCGCAAACGCGAAAACCAGTCTATGGCACACTTTTTCTTTTAAGATAATGAAATAGAATATTCCGACCCTTGCTCAACGAGCTACAACTGATTATTACAATGTAACACACAAAAAAAGAAGCTCACATGAATAAAAAAGAAGTCCATGGCACACATGTGTGTTAAACATCGCTCACGCATCCAAGCAAGCTAAAGCACACCATGCCCATCTGACAATTAACTAAATGATATGTTACCTACTTGACATCACAAGACCACGCCACCTCAAGTCAACACTAAGTAGAGATGGCAATTGCCCTGTTGGGGTTAAGTCCCCACCAGGTACCCGCTCGTACGGGGATAAGGCAAATTTTCACCTGTAGGTCTGTCGAGGAGGGGCTTAACTCCTTGCGGACCAGGGTGGATTTTTGTTTTCACCCACGAGTCTCTAAAACGGTAAGGTACATTGGATCATTCTACAAGTCCATTGCAAAAGACAATAATCCTACTAATAACCCAAGGAAAAGCCCTACTCATCCCAACCTTATCCCCACATCCCTTCCCGCAACACCTGCACGTTGCCAGTTGCTTTGACTTTGTTGCCCTAACAAGTTGAGTTGCAAAGACGCAAAGTGGCGGATGTTCCCCTCAGTCCCATAGTCATGTCATCATCTGCTAGTTTTCTCTTTGCTCTCACACAACCATGTTGCGCCACTATTTGTCCTCCTCTGGACCATGCTCCCTCGTTGCCCGCAGATGAGGGTTTCGGCTAGCTGTGAGTGTTGCTTCTGCATGGTCATGCCATGCCGCCAGCCTGCCATCCTCCTCCCTTAGTGTTGCTTGTCCAACTATCCCCTCACCCACACAGGAGCATGTCCATCATGGATGGTCCACACCGCTCACTAGGAGAAGCTCAAGATACTATGCTCAACAGTCAGCGTGGCGAACGACACTCAAAGACGCGAAGGTGCAAATTGTGGGACCCTGGCGGGGGTGGGGATCATTTCCTCCAGTTGTGGGTTCTGGGATGGGGTCATTCCGGTCCAATTCGGCCTCGACCCATTCTGTTGCCGCCTCTAACACCAAGGCATGATGAATTAATGGTATCAAACACTGCCCCAGGACCGGATGGACTGCCAGTTAGTTTCCTGAAAGAGTTTTGGGGACAACTTAAGATGCAATTTAAAGAAATGCTTGATGCTCTTTTTGAAGGGAACTTAGATCTTTGGAGGCTCAACTATTGGGGTCATAAGTTTGATTCCGAAGATTAAGAATGCCAATACAATCAAACAATTCAGGTCAATTTGTTTGCTCAATGTTGCTTTTAAGCTGATTACTAAGGTGTTAGCGGTCAGACTGTCAAGAGTTGCAGGGAAAATCATTAGAGAATGCCAGACAACATTTATTCCTGGTCGATACATTTTAGATGGTGTGGTCATTCTACACGAAGTGATTCATGAATTGAGTGTTAGAAAACTAGAAGGGATCATTTTAAAGCTAGATTTCGAGAAGGCTTATGATAAAGTACAATGGTCTTTTTTGTTTGATGTGATAAGGAAAAAAAGCTTTGATGAGATATGGATTCAATGGGTGGGCAAAGCTACTCTGAACGGGAGAGTGGCCATAAACATAAATGGAGAGGTGGATGGGTATTTCAAGACTCAGAAAGGTCTTAGACAGGGGGATCCTATATCCCCATTGTTATTTAACTTGGTTGCCGACGCCCTTTCTGAAATGTTGACCCTGGCCAAGGAAGCTGGTCACTTAGAGGGAGTGGTTCCAAACCTTGTGCCTGGAGGGCTCACTCACTTGCAATATGCCGACGACACGATCCTTTTTTTGCAGAACACAGAAGAAAACATTCTAACAGTGAAGTTCTTGCTGTATTGCTTCGAGGCGATGTCAGGCATGAAAATTAATTACCAAAAGAGTGAGGTTTTCGTGATAGGAGTAGATGATGCTGAAGCCCAAAGAATAGCAGAAAAATTTAATTGTGAGAGAGGGAAGTTTCCAATGAAATATCTGGGGATCCCCATAAGCTCAGTGAGATTGACAGTGGCAGATTTTGCAGCCTCCCCAGATAAACTAGAGAAGAGACTGGCGACATGGAAATGTGGGCACCTTTCTTATGGGGGGAAAGCAATCTTGGTGAATTCCTCCTGACTTCTATTCCTATGTATACAATGGGTGTCTACTTGCTACCAGAAACTACTCACCAGATGATGGACTCAATTAGAGTTCGTTTTTTCTGGGAAGGTCTTGAGAATAAGAGGAAGTATCATATGGTGAAATGGGAAGCTTTATGCAGACCCAAAGAGTTTGGAGGGTTAGGTTTTATTAACACTAGAGTGATGAATGCAGCTTTGCGGTGTAAATGGATTGTTAGAATTGAATCTGGCCAAGATGATCTTTGTTGCATGCTACTTCACAGGAAGTATTGCAGCAATGAGGGGGAGGGAGGTTTCTTTCAATCTAGACAAGAGGGTGGTTCTCAGTTTTGGAAAGGTTTACATGCTGTGAAACATTGGTTGAGGCTAGGGAGCTGGTATGAAATTGGTGAGGGGAATTCAACTAGTTTTTGGAACGATGTCTGGTCTGGAGAGGCGCCTTTGAAAGTTACTTTCCCTGCAATTTATAAAGCGTGCTCCAACCATAATGAAACAGTTAAGCAAGTGCACAACTCAGGTGAATGGGTGATAAATCTTAGGAGATCCTTGACAGAGTTGGAGTTAGAAGAGTGAACAGAGTTGCAGGAGTTGTTATAGGAGTTCCAAATGAATGGGGGGAGAGATAAGATGAGATGGAAGCTAACTAAATCTGGTGTATTTTCTGCTAAATCACTATACAGAGAGATGACCTTTGGAGGCGTGAGAGATAGCAGAATGATGGAATTTTGGAAGGCTCCGATTCCTCTTAATATTAAGATTTTCATGTGGCTCATACTGAAAGGGAGAATCCAGGCAGCACAACAACTGAAAAAGATGAAATGGCCTGGAAATCAGCAGTGCAAGCTTTGTGGAGAAGTTGAGTCAGTGGATCACTTGTTTTTTGCGTGCACACCAGCTAGATTCCTTTGGTGTTGTCTGAGAGATATCTTAGGTTGGAGTTATGTGCCCCGAACAAGAAATGAGCTAATTGAGAAACTTAAAGATCCTGGCATAAGAGCAATTTGTTCTACATTTGCATTTTCTCTGCTGTTTGTTGGGTTATTTGGCTTGTGAGGAATGATTTTGTTTTTAACAATAAATGTCTTTCGGGCATTACTTTGATGGCTCACAAGGTGGTAATGTTGCTGCAACAGTGGAGTCCCTTGGTGGCACAGAAATTTTCTGGAGAGGTGGAGCCCTTCAAGGACTCGCTGCGTGCTCGAATCAAGGAGCTGGAAGAGGGAAGACCAGGCTGATCTCAGGGTCCTGCTCGAGGAAGAAGATAGTGTAGGGAGATAGCGAAGTCAGCAACATGGTTTTGGCTCCAGGCGATGCATCGTGTGCCTTTATGTTAGTTTCCTGGGCTGTGTGAGGGGCTAGTCACTTTCAGCTATCTGTACTTCTGTTTCAAGTTGGCAACCCCAATTGTGTCATGTTTCCTTTTCTGTTCTTTATCTTTTCCTTTTCGCTTTCTGTATCGAACCTTGTTATGCTTTGTTAGTAAAGCTGGGCGTGGAGCCTTTGATCTAAAAATAATTAATGGTACGGTGGCAATGATGAAGGCAACAATGGAGCCAATGAGTTGCAACACACTTTTGTCCAATTATCCTCCCTTACACATGGAGCCAAGAGTTGCCCTCTTGTTGT